TTGGCTGCAGCCTGTTTGACCAAGAGGTGGGATTGAACTGATAGCAGAGTGTGTCAAGAAACCTTTTCAGTAAATAGGAATATGATTCAGATCTGTGGTGAGAATGAGGCCACTTAACAAAATGAAACAAATTATAACTGCTGATGTTCTTGTGACATGTTCAAAAGCTAATATGAGACTGAAGTTGCCTAGAGATACTGTAAACAGGAGGAGTTTGCAATCTTAGTTTTAACTCTTCTCTTATTTGTGACCTGGAGGAACTGTCTAGGGAAAATGTTGACTTTCAGAAATGTCTCCTACAAGCTCCCTGAAATTGCATGAGAGCAGGGCAATAATCTTGTGGTACTTTATTTACGTTTTTTTAATTATAGTTCACCATACTATTCAAAGTACTGTTTTGCATGGGAATTGAAGGTATGAATTGAAATAAGTCCATTTATTTGAGAAAGAGGCACGTGTCAACCATCAAAATCTACTGATTGGTTTGTCATTGCTGTCAGCAACCCAGAAGGGGCAGGGACTTGAAATGCTAAAGAAGAATGTGCTTGAAGGTCTGTTAACACTTCCATTTGGAAGGCACTCTGCAAAAAAATCACCTGATAGAGCAGGCTCAGAACTTCATCAAGAGTGCCTTCCATGGGCCACTTGAAACTGTTGGTCTGTTCTCCTATTTGTTAAAAGCACGAGGAATTCTGTTTTCCATGACTTCCTCAAAAAGCTCGTGAACTGCCAATAACTGAAAAAGAAGGAACAAGCGAAACAAGTCACTTATTTCTGCCTGCGTGTGGGTCAGGAGTTTGACTTTCATGGATGTTGACATGAGCAAAGCATGAAGAGACAAAATTTTTCATGCTGCATCAGCTGAGGCCTCATTTCTCTGGAATAAAAACATCTTTCTGATGGCTGCCCACAGGATTGCCCAAGAAAAAAGGTTAATGAATGAGAGAAAAAAACTCCAAAGGGAGAAAGGGTAGAGCAGCATTTTTAAATAGAAGATTCACTGTAGAGGGAAGAATATGGCATTGTTCTTTCCCCTTGTTTAGACTGCTCTTAATTTCAAAGCTTCTGTCTTTGTTTTCCCAGCTAATTCCATCCCTCAAAGCTATGGCTTCTTGAAGTCTCCTTAAAGACTAATTCTTGATCTTAGGTAAACCATTCTCATAAAAATTCATTTTCCTGCAGTTTATTTCAATCATGGGGGTAGTTCTGATGCTGTAATTTTGACCTCAAGCATCCTTTGCTCTTCATTAATTTTGATGGACACTATGCAGATCTGACCCAAAATGTTGGGGTTGTGATCACTGATTCTGAGTAAATATAACCCCAAAAGTAGCATATCTGGGACATTTTTACAGATCTTGTATTTCAAAGTAAACTTTTAATAGTGGTTTGGTTTCTGTTGGGGTTTTTTTCCCTCTTTGCTCAGTAATGGAGATTTTATAGAAAGGTCAAGGAACTTCCATAGCATTCAGACTTTGTTTTTCTCTGGCAGAAGTGGCTTCTAAAGAGAAATATTGTTGCTGAGCTGTAGATGTCAGTTGTGCCAATGCACACATAACACTCCCTTTTCACATTGTTTCCTGTGACTCTTAAAGTTCAAAAGCTCTCCAGTTGCTTAGAAAAATCCTACTTGATCTAAAAGCAGTAGGTGCCTACTTTATTTCTTGCATGAGGTACATTTGTTACACTAAGACAATTCAAATATACTTTATGTGAAACTGAAATAAGCCAAGCATGATTTTATAGATGAAAGCTTCTTACTCAGCAAACTTAATATGATAAACTAACAGCCACTCCGCTATGCTTTCAAGTATGGTTTGATATATACCTCCTACAGGTTTTTAAAAATGAAAAAATTGCTACATATGAAGTTCAACTGACTTGGAAGATTAAAATCAAGGTCTGTCTTTTAAGGTAACTGATGTATTCCCTAAAGAAAGGGGTTTTTTGCATAAAACTTGCCTCAAACCCTGGTGGTCCTGTGCAAGAGCAGCAGAGCTGTAAGTCCATATTCACCCACAGAAATACCTAACTCTTTGCAAAGCAGACATACATACATTATTTTTATGTCTTGACACTTACACATTTCCATTCTAAACCCCACTAGAAAGCCTTTTACTGACATTTGCAAATTTAGAAACATTAAGAGAAGAGTATTTACCTCTGAATCCTGTGATGGTGGTTTTTATCCTTTACACAGGAACTCCTGAGGTTCAGCTTCAGTATAGTCCCAAAAACATTTTTCCAGAATATTCCCTAAGGAACGTGTCTTGAGCAACATTCCATGAAGTATTTCCTTCATTCTTCCTGCTTCTAATTCTTATATCGTTGTCCAAGTGTGATCATCCTCAGGAGTGGTAGACTGAAACTGCCTTCTGCCACTGCAGGAGACAGGCAAATTGATTACTTTGTGCCTGGGGAATCTGGTTGTGCCTGTTTGAAAGCCAGCCCTGCTGGGAGGCGGATCCCTCTGCAGTGCCAGCAGCAGGAAGTGCCTTGGAGCAGCTCCCCTTAGAAGCTGCAAGTGGAGCAGTGCCTACCTTGGAAGCACAAGTGTAAGTGCAGGCTTTGCTTTCTTCTGTACCAAAGCATGGAGGGAAAAGGAATTATTGAGGGTAGATGGATCTGTTCATGGGGAGGAAAAAAAGCCTCTGCAGAATAATGCATTTTTCTACAGTATCTTAAAAATACTTGAACTCCATTTAGAAGATTGACCTAAGGTCTGAAGTGGGCAGGGGTTTCCAGCAGTAGATGGACCTCAGGAAAACCACTTCAGTTCCTGGGGAGATTAGGCACAGACAGCTATTTGGATATGTTGCTTTTGCAGGTACAGCACCTCAGCCACATTTTTGGAATTCAGTCAGTATTGCTGCAGAGAAAGTGGAAGCTAATTGACCAGAAAGACAAATATGACACCTTTCAAGGTGTTTGAGGTTAAAAATCAGCAGGTACTGCAAGCTGTGGAATGCTAGTGTCAAACTGCCACCGAGCTATGCAGTTTACCAGCATTTCATTCTGCTTCAGCTGTGCTTTGTAGGGTGTGCAGAGCAAGAGCAGCAGAAATAGTGCAGTTATTTAATCTTCAGGTGAGGGAGGAATAGGCTGTGGCAACAAACACTGCTCAGAAATATTGCCTTCAATTAGATCTAGATGAATTGACAGCACTGCTGAGGAATGCTTTTTGAGACTAAGAGGCAGCACAGTAGGATTTTCAGAGTAACAGAATAGGTTATGTGGGGGAGAAAAAAAGTGAAGTTAATTGTTTCCAGTCTTTTAATTACTTCCTTGCATTGCATCTCAGTTTTTCCCTGGTTTAACTTTGGTTTCATAGCTAAATACTGAGAGGACAAGTCTTGTTCGAGCTGGTTGATGAAAAGAAGCAGTGCCAGAGTTTTATAAACATATTGAAAATACCACAGGTTCTGTATATGCATTGAGCAGCAGTTTGGGAATCCCTGCACTACATCTTACAAAGCACTGTAGAAGTTCTCTCTTTAAGAAGTGGGAATTCAGTATCAAGGAAGGGCAGGGAGAAGAGCTTTGTGCTCTCTCCAGCTCTGCAGGTCAAGCCAGCAAAGTTTTGATTATCAGTAGGACATAGGGATTTTTATCCTCAGGATGATGATAAATAAGTGAATGGTTTGAATGGTTTGGACCACAAATAGTTAAGAATGGTGAAGATTGAGAGAGACTGGACATTTGAGAAGCTGCTTTTCTATGGTCTCCTTCATAAACAAATTCTTGAAAAGGAAGATGAAAGATTAGATAATGAATCATAGCTCATGAGGGTAATGGTGACAAAGAATGTGGGGGTTTGGGCTGTAGATGCAACACAGCTTTTTTTTAATGTTTTTGATGCAGAAAATTCTCTTGAGAGTAAAATAATTAAGAACTGAAGCTTTCATACTGGGATTCTGGAGAATATGGAAGAATAAGGTTTTAGATCAAATTAAGGTGCTGACAAGTTCTGGTAACTATGGAGTGAATTCTTACCACTGTTCCTTCCCAGCAAGGAATTAACATAAATTCGAAGTACAAGCTTTGGCCTAAGTTCCCTAAAAGTCATTTGAGTTAATGATAATGACTTGAAATTTCAGGAGGAAGGACTGTGATGTCTGGTTCCAAAACCTTCTGCCATTTGTCTTCATATCTGGAAAATTGAGTCAGAGTTCTCATGTCATTGAAATGTTGCTAAATTTTAGAGGAGCATTGTTTGAGTGGAATTCCTTTATTAGAGGGAAGCAAGTACAAATTTCCTATTTTCTAATGCTGTGCAGCACTTAGCTTGGATTATTGATGTTGTAGAAAGTGCAAAATGAGGTTGGATTGTATTTTTATACTCATAAATGAATGTCTGTCTTCTAGAGTCCTGTTTCCTATCATATATAAGTGGGTGGCAAGACCGTGATCTTCATGTTACAGAATACTTACTTTGTGAGCTATGTGGGTTTTTGGGGTTTTTTTTGCTTTCCTCAATTTAATAAAATAAGGTTTTTAGAGCCATTTATGCAGGTCCCTCCCTCTACACTGCAAGTTTTACTCAGGAAGAGCAAGTTCAGAACATTGTTTGGCATCAGAGAGAAATGCTGGGTTGCAGGCAGTGAGATGATCCTGAAGCACTTTTACACAGGGAACTGCTCATGGTTTGGGAGGTTGCAAAACCGTGAACTTTCATCCAGAGGCTCTAACAGATTTTCCTGTGCTGCTTTAGATGTAAAGCAGGATGGTCTATTATGTCCATTTTCTTTACTGTAAATGTGATTGCTTTCTCTAGAAATAATATTAAATTATTATTGAGCACCTTTGTGATTATCTAACATTAGTATTTGATGAAAATGGTGCCTAGACTAACATGCTTATTAAGTAGAAGAAATAATTAAAGCTGAAACAAGGAATTTTATCTTTTCTTTCTCAGTCTTCCCCTTCTTCCTCAGCTTTTGGAGATGTGAGAGTCTCTCTTGTGGCAGGATGATGAGTGTTTCTTTTGATCTTCCCTCTAGGCTGGCAAATAAGCAGGACAGAGAAGGAGCACTGTCAGAAGCAGATATAATCGAGTCGTTATCTCTGGAAAGGCTGGTTAATGAACACAAGTGTCTCTGTCAAATTGTAAGTAGATTTTAAGATGCTGTATTTTCTCATATCTGTGTAAAGCTTCCATTGAGGTAGGAAATTGTGCTATATGGCATAAAACTGAAATTTAGATGTAGTATTTACTGTCCTGTTAAGAAAAAAACCTAGCTGGAAGTCATTGTGGGGGAGCCAAAATCAGAAATCTTTATGAAACCTCCTTAATATTGGTCGATATTTCAAATAATATATCCAAATTAGTAGTCCCTGAGGTTTTTCTTTAAGCCTTTGTTTTAATCAACCAGTGTCTTAGGTAGGCCTTTACTTCCACAATCTTTTTCTGATGGCATTAAAAACATTTTGAAAGATTATAAATGTTATGCTGTTATTAACCAAAATAAGGCATTTTTGCAAAACCGTTTCAGCTTTGGATTTTAAAATTTAAAAATAATTTTAATTCATTAGGGAGATTTGCAAAATTTATTGAGCACTACATATTATTTGCTATAATAGCTGAGTTAGAGCAGGGCACAGCTCTGTTTATTATGTCCTGATTATCTGAGTGCTTTCTTTCAGTTAGTGCACTTTGCACTATGCATATATAGCTATCATAAAAATTAAAATTGCAAGTTCATCCTTGTTTTATTTTTGAGGAACTTCAGTTCCTCAAAAACATTTTCTTGAAAAATTTTCAGTAAAAAAAGACCTGAAAGATACTAGTGTATTCCAGTACATCTGAATTGCCTAATTTCTGACATGTGGCAGTAAAATGCTCTTCTTTTTCTTTATTTCTATTTTATGTGTAATTAGGAAAGATACGAGATCACACACTCTTAATACTGTTCCATACTCTAATGGACACCTTCTTTACCAGGCTCTTTAAGATAAACATGGTCCCAGATTCCTTCAGTAGGATGACTCCTGGGGTCAATTTAAACAGAGAAGTTGTGAAACAAGATAAAAAGTTAGGCAGGGACCAAAAAACCTTTTGTTTCTTCTTATTCTTTTAGTTAGTTTTCCACTGGATCTTTAAATTTCCCCACACAGTATTAAAACAAATGGGAGGAATAATATGTCTTGTTGTTGGACAGTGTCAGTGAGAATGGCCTTCTTCTTTTTCTTATTTAATATGTCTGTGTATTCCATATTTCTATATTTTTATATTTTGTGACCAAACTGCAGTAACAATGATCTTGATGGAAGCTGAGAACATTGTCCCTGTGCTGGCCAGGGTTTAATCTTTGTTTCCTGAAAGAAACAAGTTGTATCCATCTTCCGTACATCTCCTTTCTGAGTAGGTCCTGCTGGAGGTTTTAGCAGGGTTCCATAGTGAAAAGGACTCATATTTGAACATTAATTTAAACATAACTGGTCAGAATTATTTTTTTTCTGTCATAAATTGCACATTCCATATCTGACTGTGGTGCCATTTAAATGCTTGTCAGATGGACAGAGCACTGAGAGTTTTTCAGATGTTGGCATTGGAGAGTTGGTCTCTTCATAAACACAAATCCTGAACACGATCTGCATGAAATATCATCTCTACATGTCATACACATAGCTGGATCTATTCAATTGTTACTCAGAGAATGTTTTAAGAGACACACACAGTGCTCCAAAACATTCTGGAAAAGAGTTCCCAGGAGATCTTGACAGGATATCTTCTCCATGTTTTAAGCCTGGATTAAGCCCCATCTCTTTTGTCCCAGTTAAAGCTTGTCCTCCTGAAATGAAAAATTAAGAGGAAATTATTCTTTTCCTATTTGCAGTTTCACCTTATGTTTTTGAAAGCTATTATTCTATTTCCCTGAAGTGTTTTAATCTCAAGAGAAGCACTCTTGGCCCTTCAGTGTTTTCTTACCAGATGTGTTTTCATAACTATTTCAGAACTATTTTCTCGATGAGGTTTGCCTGTCACTTCCAACAGCTTTGCCTAGATCATGTTTCTCTCACTTGCTGCTGAGAGTATAATGACAAAAAGTTTTACTCCAGGCGAGGTACAGTGCCTGTTCTGGTACAAAAAATTGAATTGGTTTGACAGCTTTTCTGACAAATTCACAGGAGATTTTATTTATCCCCGAGGTGCTTATGAACATGTTGAATTTTTTTCATGAACTGAAGCAAAGCTGATTCTCTTTCATCTCAGATTTTTCCATTTTGATTGATAAATCTAGCATGGACTATTTATAACCCATATTTATCAGTGTTTTAGAAGCTTCACAGTAAACAGTAATTGTTCAGCTAACTTCTTGTTTCCAGTCAAGGAATGTGGTCTGAACCACAAATATTTTTTCCCTCCTTCTCCGCATATTTACAGGAACCTTGCTCAGCAGTCATGGGCTATGGAAAAAAAATTGATAAATCAATAAAAAAGGGGTTATTTTGGCTCCTCCATATCATAGCAAAGGATTTTGATGCCTTACATGAGCGCATCCAGAGAGACACAGCAGAGCAAAAAGCACTTGAGGAACAGAAGAAACTGGAACGAGCTGAGCGAGTCAGGAGGATACGGGAGCAGAGGTATTTTGCCTGTGATTCCTACTCCATCTCTTCCTCCCTTCTCTAAGATATTTGGTTCATTCCTGTGCATAGTTCTTATGGGAACCAGGCTATCCTGGATTTAAAGCTTACAAGCCAAGAATCTTTCTTGAAGCTTTTGCCTCTTCATCCCCTTTATTTGATTTATTGCATGCTGGAAATGTACTGTGAATGAGAATTGAAAGGTAATTGTGGAATAAATTTGGCCTTACTAATACGACTTCACAGAAGGCTGGCCTAAAAAATAATTCCTGTAATTTAATCTGAAGTTACCTTCTAAAATAAAGTATTAAGTTAGATTCTGTAACCCATATGTGAATTACCAAAGACTAGATATGAAAATTTATTTAATACTATGCATAATAAACTTCACGATATCCAACAGGTGAGTCATGGAGGAACTAAAGATGATGCACTGAGGGGAAGCAGGATAAGTGATTACTCCCCTCCAGAGGTTTTTCTGGTCTTTAGCAGCCTGTTGTGGTGCCTATGAAAAACTGATATTAATCATTTTACTGGGGCATTCCTAAGATATTTGCTGAGCACTATTGTCCTCTGCCTTATATAGGCAGAGAATTTTGAGTCTCAGTTACTGTGTGAAGTATCTGGGAAGTGTCTTGGACTACATTCTGGCTGTTTTGGTTTAAATCAGCTAGTAAATTAGTAAAGTACATTTTAAACAGCTGGAACTTGGCATGGTCTTCATATGTTTCACAAATTTCTAAAAAACTTGGTTTTCTCCTAATCTACTATGTGTCTCTACACACACAAAACCTCTTGACCATGTTGGGTTGTGTTGGGTTTATGCCACACTAAGAGGTGTATTGGGGAGGGTTGACATTGTTCTCTATAAAATTTATGGTTTCTCCATAATTCTTTATTCATTCTCCCTCTTTCCCCTCCCCTTGCCCCAAAAAAATACCCTCAAAACCAAACACCAAAACCACTGAAACAACATAAACCCACCAACAATGCCAAAGGGAAAAAGAAGAAGGAAATGCACCTGAGGAGGAAGATCCTGAGCCTGGGAAACGTGGAAACCCCTTCCAGCCTATATCTGCTGTAATCTCTGAGGTAGGATAATATGTGGAAATCTGGATCTGTTTAGCACTACCACTAACAGATGTCTGAGAGGCAGTGAGAAAAATGGTCATTTGAAAGAGTTGTTCTAAGTCTGTCTGCACAGCACTTTTTTTAACTCTTATTTTAATCTTGACACCCTTGTATTCAGTGTGTTGAATCAATGTTTTTGTGATAAGAAAACCTCTATTATTGATTGGCCAACAAAACTTTTGTAGACACAGTATAAATATAAACACATGACTGAAAACATTTCATAATTAAACTCCTGGGATTCAGAAGTGGAAAATATTCAAGGTCTATTAGTTTCTTCTGAAGTGTTTTAGTGATGTGGTGAGTCATTTGAAACATTCCTGACTTCTTCAGTTTTTCAGATTTGTGAGCATAACCTCTTTTCAGTTGAAAATAGACTCTTGAGAATTTTTATTAATTTTGAAATATGAAAATCACATTCATATATTAAAGTTCCCTCAACCTACGTTTCTGAGTTCATATTTTTTTATTCAGTTGCCTGGAGATAACACAATCTAAAGACACATGTGAACTTTTCCAGCAAGTAATTCAAACATTTGCTTTTCTCCAAGACAAAAGCACCCATATCCACAGCACATGTCAAGGCAGCTACATGCACAATAATCCATTGAGCAATAACATCAAAAGCAAGAAAATAAAGGTGCAGCTGTGAATATTGCAGAAAATTGTGAAGCAGCCTGTCATTGTGGTTGTGTGCCACAACAGGTGTTTATCCAAACTTGGATGGCATTTTCTGAAGACTTAGGCTCTGTGCATCTGTATTTTTTTTAAGTAACTCATTAAAAAAAATAATTGAGGGGAAAGAAAGTAGAAGATAGTTTTGTTTTTTTTTTTAATAGAACCAATAGTAAAACAAGAGAACAGGCAATAAGTCTAAAGATCCTTCTGTTTTATGATTCCCCCTCCCTTCCTCTGGGTAGGATATTGGAAATTTAATTTCTTCATCTATTTGAAAATAAATTCTATGCTAAATGTAGGATATTGAGGGAATATTTTCATTTTTTAATAACCTTCCTGTCTTACTAGCCAGTTTACAGCATTTGAAGTCATTAAAAAAAAAATCTTGTCCATTTTGTTAGAATGAAAAACAGCTGGAAAAGGAAAAGAAGAGGCAAAAGTTGGAGACTGAAAAGGCTGCAATTGTCTTGAATTCTCAAGCAGAGCAGGACCACATATCAAGTAGCAGTAGCCAAAACACAAATGACAGCAGGTTGGAAAGGTGCAACTCTACAACTGCCCAGCTTTTGCAGCATGCAGAAGAGAGTGACCAACAAGCCTCAGAATGCCTTGACTCAGGTAAAACTGCTGCCTTTTAAATAATTTCATGTGATTTTTCACATGCTTCTTTCTTCTGTCCATATTGCCATTATACCACATACCAATGTCATCTATTGGAAACAGAAAAATGCAGGAATAGGTTATATAAGTTGAATTTCTTCATGGAAACATAGAGTTTGCATATATTTTATGCCCATAGTTTATTTTCTTATAGCAAAATATTGTGTGACCTGTATTTGCCAATATTTTAGGCCCACAGTTTATTTTCTATGGCAAACTGTTGTATGATTTACATTTCCCATACTTTTATGTCTAAGTTTGGACTGAAAACTGATGTCTCTCCCTAACAATTGTATTAGAATCTGATGTAGGATATTACCTGAATGTAACTGTAGGATATGTAATGTTTTATTTCTGTTGGATGTAGATAACAGTAAGAAAAAAAGTAAAAAACCAAAATTAAAAAGGGGCCACAGAGTAGAACCTGTTAATGCAGAGGACTCTCTTCCCAAGAATCCTACACCACCACCAGCTCTTCCACCAGGTAAGTATAAAAACAATAGTTGATGTCTCAATTTGTGGTTGGTAATCCTTTGAAAGTCTCACTTGTGAATTATGAAACTTGACTGGTCTTCATACAAAGAAGAGCTACTAAACTTCTCTCTAGAAAATCTTTGATGCAGTTTCCCACTTCATGATATGAGCTTCATGATATTGACTTAGCTTATTCCATGGGAGAAAATATAATTTTCCCCAAAAAAGAGCCAGAAACTTGATTACTCACTGAAGTGATTAAAAATATCAATATTTTTAAGGTGGATCAGTTTCTATTTTAAGTATTTCATCATTTTTCAGCATGGATGCAGTGTAATGCATAACTTGGCATTTCTAAATGCTTTGATTTCTCCCAAGGAGATGTGGTGTCTGTACAGCTCAGAATAATCCAGTGCAGTTATGGAATGCTCTGACAGTTTTTGTTTTCCTTTAGTTGGATGGGGAACTCCCAAACTTAATAGACTTCGAAAACTTGAGCCTCTTGGTGAAACACATCATCCTGGTAATTGAAAGTATTCGGGGTTTTGTACCTTTTTAAACCATTCTCCATTGTCCATTCACTTCTATGTTCACTTCATTCTTCATCTGTTTTTCATTTCTGAATTCCATGTTTCATTGACCAAAAGCTTTTTCTTTTGCTTAGTAGAAAGCATCTTTTTGATTTTTTCAAGTCTGATTTTTTTATTAGGAGAAACAATGAGTTCTCTCCAATTCCCTCATAAACTTTAAAGTGGCATGGGGTGTCAGAAGTTGTTAATGATCTGAAGTTATTTGCACCTAAAAATTATAAAGTGACACATTCCAAAGAGTAATGGGGACAGTTACTTGAAGAGTCCAAATACATACTGCATTTAAAATGAAAATTTTTAACTGGAAATATTGAAGAGTCTTGATTTCTTGCTTCAGTAATGACTATTTTCTATTTTTGGAAGATTGTGGAAGACTGTTTTTTCATATGTTGGTATTACATTTTTTTCCTGAATTTGAGATTATAGCTTCTTCATTTTTATTACATTTTTATTTTTCAAATTTTGAAAAGTGAATTTGGAGACATCTGGAACACAAGAACAAGGAGCTTTTCTGCCAGAGAACCAAAAGATGCCTGAAGGGGAAATAAGATTTCTAAACCCAAAATATTTATTTCTCACAGGAATGAAATTCATCTGCTTAAAATGTGATTTGTAATTTTAACTGTAAACCCATCTTGCTCTTTTTTTTAAAGGCAAGTAGAAAGAAGTCGACAAGAAAGGAAAGCCAGATGAAGAGGTAGGGAGGGGAAGAAAAGGAACTCAATTTTTATCTTTGCCTAAGGGAAGTGTTGCATTCTGTAGGAAGAGCATGGGTGGGACAAAGGAAAAAAACTGCTTAAGCTAAGTGTTAATTTGTAAAATAAGTATAATTATTAAATAATTTTGGAAGTTAACAATGGCAAATTGGTAGGGAAATTTCTTGACCAGAGGTGTAAGAGCAAACTTTAAGTACTCAGAATTTACAGCTGAATTCAAGGCATTGCCTACTCTTTGGGAGATTTATTCTTTTCTTCAGGAATTTTGAACCACTCACAAGATTCACACTTATAAATCCTAGCAAGGAAACAGCTATTAGGAAAGGACTATTTATAAATGAAAAAAGTTCTTCACCCAGCACTGTCAAACCTTTAGTTAGGTCCTGATTTCCAAAAACATCATTTATTTATTTCTTTTGCTTAAAGCAGCTGTGGGGCTTTAACTCTGTCAGTTTGAGAGGGGAATTATTGAGATTGGAAAGGACCCTTAGGATCACTGAGTTCCCCTGTTAACCCAGCACTGATAAGTCCATCTTGCACTGATTTAATTTCCCATCTGGCCTTGCCCATTTTCTCTCACACAACAGTGTTTCTCAATGAATTCTTACCAATTTTGCATACTGAGAACCTGCTCCTGACTGGAAACTCAGAGTTTGCCTAAGACCAGTGGAGCCTAACTTGGATTCTTTTTTTACCATAACGCCTAAATTGCATCTTTCTGAAAATCAACTTATTTTTGGTTGTCACTTCAGCAGAGAAATAAATCACTGTTGATTTTTGTTTGCCTTCCCCCAGCCCTGCCCAAAATTCAAAGGTGGGTTTAAAAGTTTTTTCAGACATTCAAACTTTGTAATTACACTTTTTGATTACTTACATTCACTAAAGACTGTATTTTTTCCAGTCACGCTAATAATTTTGGCACAACACAAGGTGATGAGTACCTGTTTATTGTCAGTGGAGGATGCATTTGCAGAAATATTAAACCTCTTTCATTATAGGAGGTAAAATTCTCTGCCAGTCCTAAAGTGCTCTGCCAGTCCTCAAAAAATGGGTGAATAAAACCATCCACTGGACAGATTTTCACTGACCTTAGAATTATTTGTTGCAGTTTTCTTGCTGCTGTATTTAGTGCTATTGAAATGAAAATATTTATGACAATAATATAAAAGTGTTCTTATCTTGCTGATTAAATGTAAGGATAATTAAAAACTTGATCCTACAAACAGGTCCACATATGCTTAAAGTAGTGCAGTTCAGTTTGTTAGCTCAGGAATGCAATTTTAAGAGAAGTTACTGCATCTGTAGAACAAGTGGAATATATTCTTCTTTGAAAATGATGATTTATTAAAGCTGAATTTTGTGTTGGCAGGCCATCAAGGCTTTGTTGGGGAAGAGGTGGTCTGTATAAAAAAAAAAAAGGGATTTGAATGCTTCAAAAAGCTGCTTTTATGTTTCTTGATTTCTATCTCTTTCCTCTTACCATCTTCCATATGATTTTGCTTGTGAAGTGCTTTGCATGTTCCAGTCTGCATGGGTTTTTTATTTTATATCCGTTACAAATGTTTGTGAACACTTGTCACTCTCTCCTGATGTACTTAGTAACTTTGTGTTGTACAGTTTTACCACTTTAAATTCTTGTACTGACGAAAGGAAAAGTTGCAGTTTTATCTAAAAATTCTGAAATAGTTATTTTAGAAAGTTATTTTAGCTTCCAAGACAAATGCCATCCATAAACAGTCCCAAAATTTTTGATTCTGCACAGTTTTACTGTCATTGAAAACTATATTACAGTGCAGCCTTGACTACAGCAACATACAAATTTCAGTGCTTCATTTTTTCAGTTATTTGTACACTTTGGATTTCTCCTTTCCTATTTTCAGGGATGTTTACAAGATCCCCTTTGGGCTTGATCTTGCAAATGCTGATGCACGTATAACAAAATGTAATTAAACCCTCGTTTGGCCAATCCATCTCTAGACATTCATTAGCCCTAGGTCTGAAAGTGTGCTTGTAGGAATTAGCTCTAAACTCATGGAATACCTGGCTTTCATTAAGGAAACAAGAATCTAGTAAACATTCTTTGAGCCAGGAAGGTAGTAGGTGACAGACTGATGTGTTTTTCTGCTCTGGGATTTCTTCCACAGATTTCTATGGAAAGCCTCTGCCCCCACTGACTCTACGCCAGAGACCCAACAGTGATACCCATGATGTCATTGCTTAACTGGAGCACAAAGAGAATTTTAAAAAACATAATTTAAAAATCCTATCATTTTTTTTTACCCTTGAAGGAAATTTTTGTAAATGACATTTTATCAGCATGGGACAGCTCAACATGGAGTTCATCCTGTTGTACTTAGGTGGTCAGACTTTATCATTTACTTTTCACATCACCAGCTCTTCAGGATTTATTTGGTTTACTTGTGAAAAGACATGGCTATAAACCTGAAGAAAAACACCTTCAAGATCCTACAATACTGGATTGTACATTCCCACCGAGACCTTTCTTCAGGTGCTGTGCAGGTGTTGGCATTTTTTCAGGGAATAAATGATTCTAAAGCATTTTGTAAGATTCCTGTATGATAGGGTGAATGTAGAAAGGTTAAACAAATATTGAATATATTTTTCTACCTTTTTATAAAATGAGTTGAAAGTTTGTGTGGAATGGTGTACCTACAAACTAATAAAGTAGGTAAGATAGGTAAATGTACCTATACTACCAATAAAATGATACCTAGGGAGCATTAGAAAGCTGATAGTCAAGTGCATAAAAATAAAATGTGTTTGACTCTTACATTTATCTTACAGTACCAATAACTTTTCTTAGGTATTACATTACATATTTCATATTTCTGGCAATCTAAAGCAGAGGGTAAGATAAAAAAATTTAAAATAAATGTATTTTATACAAAATAATGCTGTTTGAACTGTCTGGAAGTTTTCTTATCCGTTGTTTTCTTTGTTTTGTTAACTGAGTTTGACATAGGTAATAAATTCTGGGAAAAAAAAAATAGTCAAATACTGTATTGTCTACTACAACAAACAAGAAAATTGTACATAGTGGGAAATTTGCACTAATTAAATCATCATTTTTGATGGGAAACTGAATCAACCAGTATGCAGATGACCTCCCACAGGTTTTAATCTCAATAATACTAAAATACCATCTTGCATACTAAAGAAACCCCAGTTTTTTAAGGATTTAGATAACACTTCCATATAATGTGTTGGAAGTCACATACAAGTGATAGCTAAACAAGAAGATTTACAATTTGCTATATTCCTGTTTAATGTTTTTACTGTTACATTGGAGACAACCAGTGGTGTATTTGTAAAGGTTCATTGTTCTGCCATTTAATGACAGAATGAAGTGTCCATTCAGGAGGTTTTTTTGGAGAAGCAGTGTTTGATAATTTTATATTATGCTCTGTTGTCAATAATGTGGTTTTACCAAAGGAGTTTTGATGTTGGAACAATGTGGTGTGTTACATGTTCAGCACTTTTTTGGTACTGGAAATCTTTGCCATACGCCCTTTGCAGCAAGGAGTTGCACAAACATCTGCCATACTAAAATGAAATTATTAAGATTTTAAAAGAGTAAGGTGGAATCAGTCTTAAGGGTACTAAGTTTGGTGGAGAGGTTTATTCCTCTATGCTTGCTAGTTTAGAGAAAGGAGGAAACTATTTCTATGTGACTACCAGCATAAGAATACTTTTGTTGTATTCTAATACTGTAACACGATTCTGTTGGATTATTCTCAGGATTTGGTCATTTTCCCTTCAGACAACACAATACTAAGTGGAGGGGAGGTTGCACAAAAATTTTATATGTGCAATCTCAACTTTGCTAACACTAGCTCTGTTACCACTTAAGTTTTTGGCTTAAAGGCTCTACTTTTTCAGGCTTACTTTTTTACCGCTTCAATTTATAGGAATGTATTACCCTTTTGTTTTCTCTCTTTCCTAAAATAAAGTCATGGAAGTCTTTATTAAAAATTAAGCTAAATACTGCTGTGGTAACAAAATTTGAGAAACTAGTATGTTGATGCTTATATATGAACTGTGTGTTGTGTGTGTGGATACATGTATCATTTTTGATTTTTGCTTTTAAAATAAATTTTATCAGTATGTGACCAAAGTACTCAAAAATGTTTTATAAGTTTTTATTTTATTAATATGCTTTGTAATTATTTACTGTGGTGGGGTTTTTTTCAGCTATTTATACTGCTATGACTTTTTATTTGCTCAAGATGACATTTATATATAGAATAAAACTAATGCAAAACATCAACATGTTGCCTGTATTACCATAAATTTACAATTTTTGGGGGGTAAGTCTAGACATAAAATATTTAAGGGCTACAAGTCTCACATTTCTACAATGTATGAGATAGATACCTTATAGACAGAATCTTTGCACATTTTTGCAGGAGAAATGCAATCAAATTTAGAATGCACTGATAGATTGGCAATAAGTATATGTATATCTATAAAGAGGCTTGATAGTGCACTTAATGTTTGAGAGATAAAAGTTGTGCAGCTGTAAACTGAGAGCACAAATTAGACTTTGTCAGACTTTTTCTCATCCATAGCATCACTTTCAAATCATCATTTTTCTCATCATAGCATCACATCATCAGTGCATGCAGCTAGGGGTATTTGTATTTAAATACAGGAGTGGGAAGAACACAGGAATTCACTATTTAAGCAGAACATTTTGCATTATCTATGTGTAACATCTTAAATACATTTTAGACAAAATATTTTAAAGGTAAGTATATTCTGAGAATGAATAGTAATGTTCATTAACCGAATTAATGTGAGACTCAGTGCTTCAAAATACATTGTTCAGGTAACAACCCTTTTAGTTACATCCTAGAATTCACAGAAAGACCTTACTCATAGATTTTAAAGGTTTTAAAATAAAAAATTATTAAAATCAAAATTATTAAAAATAGACATATTTGGTGTCCATTAGGTCTCTGATGTGAGATTGGAAAGGATTGATGGATCGTAACAAAGTAAACAATGTAGAATTTTTTCCTTTTAATTAAGATTGAAGCAGTATTCTTTTCAGTAATATATTCCAGTATTTTGGTGGAAAGTTTACTACTCTAACTTCAGGATGCTACCCAGTAATTTTGCCATCACATTAGCTTTGTGGCACCTGGGATTCATTAAATTTGAAACAGTTTACTATTTTGACTAGAACATACCCACCAGTATTTCAATAGATGGATTTGTAAATGGAATAAGTAATGGAGCCTGTTGTAAATGTAATTTGAGATAAGTTTATCTGCAGTAGGACATGAGAGAGATACAAGATGCATTTTTGCTGTTTGCAGTTTGGCTGTGATTGTGGCGGTGCTGATGAACTGGAGTCCTTTCTTTCCTTTGGTGCAAATCTGGTTTCAGACACAGTAACACCGATGGCACCATCTATCATACAGTGGAATACAGCCATAGATTATGGGGAAGGTGGCTCATTCAGCAACCTTTGTTTTATTAGTACAGTAAAATTCAATTCTTGTGCATATTTTCTGGTATGGTACGGGCCCTGGCAGAATTACAACCGCAGAGAACTACTATTTATACCAGTTTTGTTCTGTTGGTAAAATTCACTTAGCATAATGCCTTTCAGGTTTCCTTCGTGTTTGAGGTCTCTGTTTTGCCTCCAGGCCCTTTGTCACAGCCCTGATAGAAGCATTTTAAATAAGCTTTCAAGCCTGCTGCTAATCTGCATGATGTGAGCAAAAACACTTAAGTCTTCATTAGCTGGTGCCTGAAACTCAAATATTTATCCATACGATAGCACTCCTGCCATTACCTTTGCACTGCTTTCCAGTCTGGGTTTCAGAGGCTGCGTTCAGCCTGCAGAAGCTTTAATTAAAACTACTCTTGAACAGTTTTGCTGCTTCCACAGGGCTTGTTCTTAGCAAGAGCTGACCAATGGGCAAGAAAGGGAGGGTGTGTGGGGATTTATTTTGCTGGGACACTGGTTGCAGCAGGCGATGTCCAACACAGTGGGATGTCCTTCCTTGGAGGAGCAGTTTGCAGGTCTCGAGTTTTGTCCAGATGAAGGGATCACAAGAGAGCAGCCTCAGATTTTTGTGCTGCTGAACTGGGGTACAGTGGTTCCCCTGATTCCTATCCCCGGAGTGTTTTATCTGAAAGTGTGTGTGAGAGGTTTCTGAGAATAGTTCTCAAGCCTCCGGCAGTTTTTCACGGCAGTAGCAGCGGGTTAAACTGGAGCTGATCTCCGGTGTGCTGCAGATGAGCTGAGCAGCACCCCAAAGCCTGGGCCAGACAGGAATAAAGGTCTGGTGAGAAGGCACGAGCAGAGGCCTGATGGTGCGGGGGGTGTGGATGTCATCAGAGCCTCCAGCAGGCGCTGGGATGAGGATCACTTCTGTAAATCGATTAAGTGAGAGCCCGGGTGCTTTTTCTCTACTGGTGAGGCAGAGGGGTCGGAACGGCAGGTCAGCCTCCCACGGTAAAAAAATAAAAATTGTAATAAATAAATAGAATTAGGAAGTGGGCTTTTTGGTTTTTTGTTTGTTTGTTTGTTTTTTACTGTGAGACACGGGAACAAGGTGCCCAGAGAAGTTGTGGGATGCCTCAGACGCGGCAGTGTTCAAAGCCAGGCTCGATGGGGACTTGAGCATCCTCTAGGGGGTTTGTGTCCCCACCCTGGCCGAGGTGGCTGGGACCAGCTGCTCTTTAAGGTCCCTTCCTTCCCCTTCACGTTCTGTGGCGCTGTGAAAAACTCTCATTCCCAGCCGTGCACGCTGGAACGAGAGCGGGGCCGGGCCGCGGCGCTGCCGGCCCGCCCGGGGAGCTCGGGCCATGCGGGGCCNCTGGAGCCGGGGCTGGAGCCGGGGCTGGAGCCCGGGTCGGAGCTGGAGCCGGGGCCGGGCGGAAGCGCGGCAGGAGGGCCCCGGCCGCTTCCTGCGCGGGCAGAGCGTGCGGTAGAGCCCGCCCGTTCCGTGTGCGCTCCCCGCTGCCTCCGCCACAGCACCGAGTGTCCCCGGGGTTTGTGTACCTCCTGCGGGCAGCTGTTCCGGCACACAGAGAGAACTGCCGGCCCCACAGCCGGCCCCGGTGCCCCAGCTCCCTCCCTGTCCCTGGGCCGCCTCTGGGCCGGCGCGGTGGGACGGGACGGCAGCTGGGTGCCCTGAGGGAGGGAAATTCAGCGTTTGCCCCTGGGGTTTGCTCAGAAACCAAAAGCTCTTTCCCTTCCTTTCGAAGGTTGAACTCCATCAGAGGCCCAGGAGCCTCTGGATTATCAGCACAGTGGCTATTGAGGGGTACTTATTAACCAGCCGAGCAGGGAGGAAAACTGTGTGCTATAGTTTAACTTTCACTCTCTGAAATGTCTGTTTCATCTTGATCACATGAGGATGTGGTCTTAATATTTGAGCATTCTAATATCACCGATACCAAGTTGAGGTCATTAGAAAAATGTTTCTTATTCATTCTAGTGAGAACTAGAGAGGGTTTAATTTGGCTTTACTACTTTTCTTTTTTCTTCCTTTCTCTGAAGCTGGAGAAAAAAGGGAAGCTCCAGAAGCAGATCTGTCAGGTGGTTCTGGATCACTTTGAGAAGCAGTACACGGCAGAGCTGGGAGAGGCATGGAGCACTGTCAGGTCTGTGGCTTTGGGGACATGGAAGGAAGGGGAGAGAAGGAATTGAATTAATAATGACATGTATGGCAAAGGCTGTCACGTAATTTGGGTCTTGACCACGCAGCTGCTAAAGAACCTCATTATTAAAAAACAAAAGGCATAGATGCATAGCATTAGTTTAATTGAGTCAACTTAAAAACTCTTAGTTTGGATCAATGTGTTTTTCTGCTTTAGGCACTGAATACTCCTGAAGAATATTTCTTTTAGATTAAATGAAAAATTACTAATAATAATTCAAACAGAAAGGGGGGAAATCCATGTAAGAAAGGCCTGAAAGAGCAAACTAAAATCCAAACAAGCATGTTTCTATCACATGCACTGCTGTCTCCCTTCCAAAAACATCTGTTGAATTAAGTTTTACTGGGCCAGTGTTTGCAGAACATAAAATGTAAAAAAGAACACTTGTGAAAATGGCATTTTAGTGTTGGCTGGAATGAGCATTGTAAAGCCAATGTCTGTGTGATTATTCTTGTTGGTTGCAACTAATATTACAGTTTTTCTTTGTCCCTAGGGAGGTGCTTTATAATCAGGAAGAGTGTTATGCTTCATTTATATCTTCTAGATAAAATAAGGAAAATAAAGAATTCCTTGTTGCAGAAGAAATTGGGGTTTTAAATGCAATAAGTAGAAAAAAACAGTGACTTGATTTCCTATTAAAATTATTTTCCTGCATACTTTCCTAACCAAAATGATTAATTTCTGACTACTCCAGAATTATCCAATGGTGAGGTTGTAACTTATGGCTTCCTACACTGTTTTATTTGATGGTTTATTGAACAGCTTTTCCCTTTTCACCCTAGAGATGTGCTGACCTCGCCGTGGTGCTGGCAGCACGCCGTGCTGCTGAACAGGTTCAGCCACAGCCCCGGCCTGGAGAGCAGCCTGGCTGAGCAGGGATATCATGCTGCCTTCCCAGCAGCTCTGCCCTACCTCCCAGCAGCCTTCAGGTGTTACACCAGGACAGCTCCTGGCAGATTCCCTGCACAGAAACACCAGCCTGGCAGACTGAAGGAGTATTACCTGCTGAATGCTGCCTCGCTGCTGCCCGTGCTGGCCTTGGAGGTGAAGGATGGGGAAGATGTTCTGGATCTCTGTGCTGCACCAGGGGGAAAATCTGTAGCTATCCTGCAGTGTGCCTGTCCAGGTAATGGAGGGAGACAGCCAGAAGTTACTTAAAGCCATGTCATACTTAAAGCCATGTCAATTTGTTAGCACAGGGATGTAAGTAATCAGCAATCTTAGAATGCTTGTCCTTTTTTATTTTATTTTTTCTTTTCCTCTGCTGCCTCATTTTTCAGTGCTGTGCAAATAGTACAGGTAAATTTAAGTATGCAGATGTAAAGCAGAACATAAGAAATGAAATGTGCAAGATCTGGGCAAAGGGAGAAGGTTTATGGTAAGGAATTGGTTGGAGAAGGATTCTGAGATGATCAGAGTCTTTAGGAGGCAAGCAGCAGCTTGGGCCAAGGAGTTAAAGCAAGCTGTGAGTGCTGTTTCCAAGTTTATTTGCTGGCTTGGATAATAATTGTTTCAAACTGTTCACAGCACCTTATGCTCCTGCTGATGAGGGCACTACTATAACCACCTGCAGCAGCTGATTGCAACTGGTTTGCCTCCCTCTTCTAGAGGAATGAGGTGATGCTAATGAAGTAAATTAAATAGGAATTGTCCTTTTAGAAGGTTTAAGGAAAAAAAAACCCAACACCCTCTGTCTGCTTCTGAGCTGTTCTAAACTGTTGCTTAGAATGGAAGGTGTGAAGAATTTGATTCTTAATATAACTCAGTGAATGCTGAGATGTACCTTAAGATACAGAAAATTGATGATTTATTTATTTAAAAGGCAGTTTAATAATAATATGGGGCATGCACTTCATTTAGTTGGTAGCTCAGGGAGCCCAGGAAGGCACTCACTCTTTGGATATGGGTCTTGATTAAAGTTTGTTTTATTCTGGAAATCTATTGCTACAGAAGAATTTGCTAGTAAATATTTAGGGTTTGCTCTGTAGGAGCGTGTAGAAATTTATTTAGGTGTATAAAAATTCAGTAATATTCTAAAAAGTGTAATAACACAGGCACATAAGGTATGAACTCCATGATAGTCATGGCAATGCAGTAGAATTTCTGAAAGGGGTCTAGCTCCTGGCATTTGTAAAAACATAAGAAAAAATAAATTATAAAGAATTCTCTTCTGAAGTTTATTTCTCTTTTTTTGTTTGTTTGTTTTTTTTTTCCTTAATTTTCTAAGGTCATTTTCACTGTAACGAATATGATGATTTGAGGTCAAGATGGTTGGAGCAGACAATAGAATCCTTCATCCCAGATCCTGTGATCAACTTGATAACAGTCTCTAAACTGGATGGTAGACAGATTGGAGATCTTCAGCCTGAATTTTATGACAAGGTAACATTATTATTGGCAAATTGTATTTCTGAATTCTGATTCTTCTTCTTCCTATGCTGCTGTCTTTTTAGTATTTTTGTTTTGTTTTGTTTTCCTGGACCCCCATGAAAATACCTGACCTATCAAGGGAATAAACTCACGTACAGGATTTGCAGAGAAAACACTTTATGAAGCTTTTTGTGCATTTATTCCTGTGTTGGATGATGTTGGGCATTCATCCTTGGGAGGGAAGTCTGAAGACCTTGTAGCTGTAATCTTTGCATGATGTGTAATTAGGAAAGGGAGGAGAACAAGAGGGAGCTGCTCAGGTGGATCTTCATTTCAGAGCACTGATTTTTTATCTCCCCACCTGCTAATCCCATAAAAACATCTGAAAATAGTAATGGCATCATTTCACCCCCAAAATGGAAAGTAAAGTTTTGGCAATATTTGCAAAAGAAAATTGAATATGTTTTGGCACATGGTGTTTAAAGAGTGACCATCTTTGTTGACATTTTTAAAATTTGATTTTATTAATTGTTCAGGTACTGGTTGATGCTCCTTGTTCAAATGACAGAAGTTGGCTCTTCTCTGCTGACCCTCAGCAGGCTGTGCTCAGGCTCATGCAAAGGAAGGAGTTGTCCTCCCTGCAATTCCAGCTTCTAAGGTGAGAAGTTCAAAAAGTTATTTTTTTAGTTTATTTTAAGTTTAAAAAGTTAGTAATCTTAATTATTTTGATAATTAATTGTAATTAATCTTATTTATTTTGAGGACTTCCTGTAATTAATAAAAATTACATGGGGTCAAGATTTAATAAATGAACTCAGGATTCCTTCTCTGAAAATAATGTCAGGAACATGTGATTGTGATGCTGTTTAGAATAACCAGTGGGTCTGAGATTATGAGGATGTGGAAATCTCTGTGGGTGATACCAGCAGTGAGGCCTTTGTCCTCTTAACTCACTTTATTCACTTTACTCACTTTAATTCACAGAAATGTCCATTTGCAGATGACTCACAGCAGTCTGTTGTAAAATCAAAATATTTTAGGTGGATACAGCTAAAATGGGTTTAGATATATTCCATACTGATTGTTTGTAGCACAGAAAGGCTCCCAGGCCTAACTGACAGGGTAAAACAAGTAAAAGAATGTGAGGTTTGGTGGGGGAAAGAGAGGATTGTTTATTTTTGAGAATATCTCCCCAATAACCCAAAGTCAGGCTGTTGTGTATTACACATTTTAATGCTACCAGCCATGGGCTGGCATTTGTGAAGCATTTCAAACTGCACAGTTTTTTTTTTTTTCATGAGGGCAAAGAAAAGAGTGACTTTTCAATAAAACCTTCTAAACTTGAATGTTATTTGTGGAGTAACAGTCATGCCTGAAGTCCATCTTTCAAAGCAAATTGAGGGAAAAATAATCAAATAATTTTTTATTATTAAAAAAAAAAGGAAAATTTTTATGGAAAGTTCCCATTGCAGTTCAAGATAGTTTTGCAAGACTTCCAGTTGAAAAAGGCCTGGCAGAAGCCTGTGATTTATAACAGAAATATGAGGATCTTATTGCAGTAATGCATCATGTCATTCATTTCCTTTGAAGAAATCAATCACATTTAAAACACTGACCTGTTTCAGTTTTCCCTTTTCAATATCTGACATAGAAAATCCAATTTGTGAACCCGTAGCAAAAGGAGGCATACATCATGCAGAGAAATTTTGAGAATTTGCATAAATCATTCCACATTGTAATCCTGGAGAACTCATGACAGCAGAAACCTTTTTTTTAAAAAAAATAAAAAAAAAAAATTCCTGTCAGCTCAAATCAGATTTAATTGAATTATTCCTAAATAGAGAGAGAACTTTCTGTTGAAAATATTCTTTACTTTAGAAACAGTAATAAGAACTTGTAAAGACAAAATACCTTTGCTATAAATTGTAGCAAAAGGATGGTTACTTTCAAGAGTTAGAATTTGTAAGCGTTATTGGATTAAAAGGGTTATTGCTAAAGGATATAAGAGTTATTGATTGGGTTATTGGGTAAAATATTTGAAGTATGGCTGGTTACTGTTCTCTTTACCTGATCACTTTAGAATGAAGTTCTAAAGACATGTCAGATCCCACGTGAACGGGAAAAAAGGAAATGATAAAGCAAGATCAGAAAAGGCTGAATGGTTCATGACAAGCTCATTAGAACTAAAATTCTGGATTGCTTCCCTATTCAAGCCTGTGTTTTATGACTGGAGTGCGTAATTATAAAGAAAAAGTTGAGTTTGAATCTCTTCTGTAGTACTTCTTGTAGTATTCAGGATGGCTGAGCCTCCATGAATCCAGCTGCACTGCTTTTTACAGCAGCCAGCTCATGCAGGGCTCTCTGGTTCATTGGTTCAGGTTACCTGGTGCCTTATGCTCCCAGGTGTTCCTGCCCTTGGTTCCTGCATTTGTAAACAAAAACAAGTGTAAGGCTGAATCCCAGCAGTTGTGTTGAGAGTAATGTAAGAAATACATGATAAGAGCAGGGAGTGACAGGACAAGGGGAGTGGCTTCAAACTGAGAGGGAGTGGGTTTAGATGGGATAGTGGGAAAAAATTCCTGACTGTGAAGGTGGGCAGGCCCTGGCACAGGGTGCCCAGAGAAGCTGTGTCTGCCCCTGGATCCCTGGAAGTGTCCAAGGCCAGGATGAACAGGGCTTGGAGCAGCCTGGGACAGTGGAAGGTGTCCTGCCCTTGGCAGGGGTTTGGAAATGATGATCATTAGGTCCCTTCCAACCCAAACCATCCTGTGATTTAAAGGTGAGGCTCGAGGGACCAAGCATTGTTTCAGTTTAGCAGGAGGATTAAGTGTATCATAAAAACGAGTAGAATGAATGGCAAAGTGGAGTTCTGTTTTTATTTCTCTCAAGCAACAGCCTAAATTCTGAAATTCCCTCCTTAATTAAGGGAATGCTTCACCTCTAATTTGTTTTTATGGATCTGTTTTGGAGGAAGCTGGGGTCATCAAAGAGGGAAGTTAAGGAAGGAAAAGTAGGATTTGCAATACAATGTAATTAATTAAGTACATAGAGGCTTCAGAGAATGGAGATCTGGAAGAAACTGTTCCAGCAACCTTCCTCCTGCAGCCTGCTTAAAATCTGAAATGTAAATAAGTGATATATATGCTGAACAGCAAATGTTCTAAGCAGTGAGGGCACCACTGATTTGAGGGAAATTGAGATTGTAATGATTGCTCATACCCAAACCAAAGCATCCCTGCTGAGTGCTCTAATCCAAGAACACACTGCAAATCTTGTTATTATTTGGAGTGTTTATGCAGAAAACAAATCGCAAAGTGAAAAAAAAAAAAAAGGAATATTCATTTCCTGATGCTAAATGCTAACAGAAAATACAGTGGTTCCCAAAAGCAAATTTACCAATGTTACCGGTTCTCAGAGAGAAATTAAATTTTGGGCTAAGCTTGAATGCCCAATTATGTAGTGGTTAAACTGTAATGGATGTTGTAATTATTCTTAGACTGGTTTCTGCAGCTGAAAGGAACTCATGTTAGGGCTCAGCAGAAAAGAAATGTAACAGAATACAATTTAGAAAACTCAGCAAAGGCATTCAGACTCCTGGAACTCTTCTATACACAGCATCTCTGAGTAATTAAACAGCTCTCAATTTTCACTGGATTGTGGAGTTTTCCACAGGAGAGGAATTGTGTGCTCTTAGCTGGGCTTTTTTGTGGTTATAGAGTGAAGGCAAAAATTGTGTTTATAAATATAAAATCATACATTTAGCATATGTCACCAGTGTACCATTTCTGCTATGTGGAGTAAGTTGTGCTGAGAATTGCTTCATCACATCTTCTGCTCATCCCACTGGAATTTTTCCTTTTGATCCTCTGTAGCTGCCCAGTTAATCCTTTTATTGTCCAAAACCATCTTCTCAATAGCTCCACTAGAAATTTTTGAGAGTTCCAACTGTTGGACCAACAAATCTTCTGTGGGTTTTGTGGATGGCAGGATTCTTTAGCCACCTTCTGTCGTACAAAAAGCTGAATATTTTGTGTGTGTTCGTGTTGTGCCATTCCCCAAAAACACTTTGGATTGGGTTGTTGGAGGTTTTACATGGTTGGTTGGAATTCCTTCACAAAGAGTGAGTGCTGTGCCACTGCTGTTGTTCATCACAGATGTTAAAATAAATGGTTCCTGATTTTAAGTGTGGCAGCACCCTGTGAATAACTTATGGATCAAGTCCCTTAGGATATGTTGCAAAGCCAGGTTTATTGAATATATAAATTACCATATGACTAAACAAATAAGCTACTCAGCAGCTTTTTGGGATCACATATTTGAATTCAAGCACATTTTGCTTTAATTCCACCTTCAATCCTTTCTCTGTGTATTTTATGAGCTGTGAGGATAACCACTAACCCTAAAGTTCTCTTTAGTGGGCTTCCAAGGTCTTTATTCTCCCTTCTGGGCTGTCTCATATCCCTGTTTGAACAGGATGAGTATTCCAGAAGTCACCATGCATTAAAGGAGAAAGATCAATAAATATAGCTGTTTGTTTGGTCTCTTTTTTAGAATAATTTAGAGTTATCTGCAATAGAAACGTTGCTTATCAGGATTTTTGGGACAATTTTTGTCTAGAGTAGCATAGACTGGGTTTTTTTGGATTTGTGGATTTTGGTTGTTTAGTTGAGGGGGTTTTGATGCCTGTGTTTCCTTTTATTTATAATTCAATTTAGTATTGAAAAAGGCAGTTGATTTTAATGATTCTCCTGTTATTTTGGGCTGCAGTGTTTCTCCACAAGAGCAAAGCTTACTTAGAGAGGAGCAGAGGGAGTGCATGAACTACTGTCACTGCCCATCACAAAGTATTAAAAAAATTGGTGTTTTGACACAGAAGGATTTTCTTCATCATTTTTTCTAGTTTGAAATAAATAGAAGCAAAACCTTTAACAGGCACACAGGCCATATTGCCACAAAGTGTCTGGAGTCTTCTGAGAGGTGAAACGTAATGTGGATATTTTAAGTCAAGGAGAAGAATAGAATTGGCATTTTTTATATTCTGGTGAGACATTATCTTGCCTTGTTAAGCAGAAATACGTTGTCATTGCCAAAAGATGGCACTGTTGAAGTGTTGTGTTAGTTTAAAATTGCCCTAAAACTGTGTCATCTTTTCACTTTAATGCTGAAAATAGTCTAGTGATTAACATAATTAATGCTCCCCCTTCCCATGGCATGCAGCATAAACCCAAGCACAGGAGCCTAGGCTGGACATGCAGATGCTGCCTATAGTGTGAAATACATATTTTTGTGTCTGCCTATTTTTAAAAGGGTGTTTGAGACATCAAGACTTTTCTCTGTCAGAGGGAAAAATCCTTTCTAGGTCCTGGCTAGCTACATTTTAGTTGCATGGAAGAGTTTTTTGGGTTTGTCATGTGGCTCTAGCATGATCATTTTTTTTCTCCTGAGATATTAAAACAGTAATGCTGTCTTGTTTTCCCTTATTTAGCAAGTCTTGAGAAATAAACTAAAAAAAAAGAAAAAGAGCTTTGAAATAATATATTTCTTTAAAAAGTCTTTTCTGGTACTCCTGTGATACAGGGAATTAGGACAGATTAAGGCATCTGTTGTATCTCTGACTTCCACAGTACAATATGAACCTGTACCCAAAGACACAACCTGCAAAAATAAAAATATTTTTTACTTTTTTTTTTTTTCTAATGCTGTAAAATCTCATTTAAAAAAAGGAGGTGAGCAATCTGCATGTGTTAATTTTTTTTACAGAACTTGTTGAATGAGATGGACAGAAAAAGGCTCCAGAAAAAGTTTCCAGGGCTTTTAATGTGTTCTGTGTGAACTCATGAAAATGTTAAAATGTGTATCACACATGGTGTGTGATCTATCATGTGTTCTGGTGTATCTTCGTGTGAAGCATGAAACCTTGCAGTGGTAGTGCCTGTAAACACGTGAAATTCATTACAGAAGATATATGTACCTGAAATCACATTATGACATTAACTAGATCTTTATTTCAGCTGGAAGTTTTAGCTCTTTAATAAACACAAGTGTCATGTGTTCCACCAAGAGAAAAATAACTGCAGATTAACTACCTTTAAATATTGTGTGTTTTGTTAAACAGGGCATTGTAATAAGAGGAAGGTGAAAAAATATTTTGGCATCTTAATCATTCTGTATTTGACTTAGATGGTCCTGTCATTAGTAGGACTGTTATGCTTTATCTCCAACCTATCCCTTGGATGAGCTTGTTTTCCTTCAGTGATTAGAGAGGAAGTTTCTTTAAATTTACTTGGAACAATTCTCTGATGATCAAATCCTCTCCTGAATGCAGTCTTTGTGCTGCTGATGAGGAGAGGACCAAACTCCCTGGCTCTGCTGGCCCAGCTCAGTGTCACCCTGTGTGACTTTGAGCCCAGCACTCCCTCACTTGGAATTTTGCAGTTCCCTGCGGGTTTATCAAAAGCCTAGCAGGGTTTAATCAGGGCTGGCGGGCCTTGACTTTGAGCACAGGCACTGAAACAACTGTTGCTGCACTTGACAAGATGGATAGATACATTGATTAACCTTGCTGCCTGAAGCAATTCTCATCAGGTGTTTTAATTCGTGGTTTAGGTTCAAAATAAAGAGAGCTGCACTGAGCAGGCTGACCTTTATGGGTCACGGGCCAGTAAAGATTCACAAGTTGAGGTTTAGACATGGGGGAGCATTTGAGGTGAGATTTTCAAGTTTTTCTTCAGAGGCCTGTGCTGCTCTTCCCTCTGATGGACTCAGCTGGAGGAGCTTGGTGCCCTTGCAAATGTTGTGTTGAGGGGTTCTTGATTTCTTTATGGGTAGAAAAGGACATTTAGCAAGTGTCCAGGCTTTTAGTCTTGTAACCTATAGCTACATCTACTTTTTCTGTCTTTTACCTTTCCCACTTCACATGGTAAAAGAATTTTCTCTCTTGTCTAAATGCTGTCTTAGAGGTAGGAAAGTGGTTGCTATTATCTGCTTCTCTGAGTAAAATTCTCAGGTCTGCTAAAAGTACATCTCAATTGTCACATTAAAACATTTCCAAGCTTACTGGCTGCCCTCAGGGCTTGGCACTCCTGCATGCATGGAAAAGGTGTAGCTGGCAGGGGAAGGTCTATCAAAAATGAGTTATGTAGGTGGATTCTGATAATAATCTGAAGATCAGCTCGACTTTATGAGAGCCCATTTAGATTTCAGCTGTGTTCTCTTTGAGTTCTAACGTGAAAGATAAAAAGCAAGATCCAATATATGGGGGGAAAAACATTATTTTAAATTTCCCCAGATGGGAGTGAGGCCGAGAGATAGTGCATCAGGCTCTCTTGCTGGTTTGGTGTTCATGAGAAGGGAAGGTTGCACATCCCTGCTTTGCTTTAATTTAGCAGTTAATTCCATATATGTGGGTGCACAGCAGCATGAGTGAGCCCTGCCCTTTTAAATGGGCAGCTGCCAGCAAGGAAAGGAGCTGGACGGAAGTGGGAACAGCTTTTGGGTCCAGAACTGCTGCTTTTGGAGCCCTCTAAGGAGTAAATGTGTGTTGAGATGCCAGGATGAATATCTGGCAATTCAAATGGCTGCTGGTAAGTGCAGAAGTTTAGAAGATGAGAGCTGGGAAGGATGTCAGGGTTCCACCTGCTCTCTTTCACTCTCTTGGGATGGCAGTGTGAATGTTGTGCTATACCAGCCTGTGGCAGGAACATTCTCAAACGTTTCTGCAGGCTTTGAAAAGCTACTCAGGGGTGTGAGATAAGCTTCTAGTTTTAACTAATTAATAGGTTTAACTGATTTTTGGAGTATCCTCGAATGAGTCCGCTAGGCCCAGTTAAACTGAAAACCTAAGTGCACTGTAACCCATTTTTGCCTTTAGCAGGCTGAACTTGGAATTGCTCCCTCATTAAGGCTGGATATGCTCACTCTCTCCATCTTTTTCTGGAAAACTGATGTGACAGAGGCATTAAACACATATTTTTCTTCGAGCACCATGAGTTAAGAGAGCTCTCTCCTTTTACACTAAGTAAAATCATACACTTCAGTAAAATACATACTTGGGTTGCTGATTAGCATAACCAAGACTCATAAAAGAATTGAGCAAGGTAATGTTTATGCTCCCAAGAGAAATAGGTTAGGTATAATCCTCAGGAGTTTTCACCTGGTCTTACCTGATTGAAGCAGTCATTTGTCCTGGTGTTCCCATACTATTTTGGGCAGGACTTTCAGAGCAGCTTTGATCTGTGATCAGCTTTGATGCTTCTTGAAAGCTGAAGCTTTTCTTTATTGATTATTTTCCCAAAAAGTTGTGATTTTGTTAAAGGGGCTTATCTTTCCCCTCCTTTTTATTTCTTTTTTCCTTTCTCAACTGTCACTGTTTTTGGTCAGCTGTCACCCTTGGGAAGACCTCAGCTTGTTTCTGGAGGAATTGCTATTTCCATGGCATTGTCTGTGTTTATCTAGACTTGGAATCAGACTTTCTGTATTTAGGGGCTGCTCACCTCATCCCGTTTCAAGAGATGGTTGTTTCTTTTCTTCTTTTTTTTTTGTTCCAGGATATTTTTTTCCCCTGGGTTGTTGGGGGTGTGTGAGCACAATTTTGTCAGTAATATCTACAAATCTCTGATTATTCAGTGTCATTTACACCATTCACCTGTTCTGATTTTCTTGTTATTAAATAAAAGAAATCTTACTGAGGGAACAGTTGTATTTAATGTGGTATTTCCCTGTAATATCCATTTGTATATCAGCTAACAGTGCAGTCTTTGAGCCAAAAATGGCTCAAAAATATATGATTTAAAGGGATTTATCTTCAGTGTTTTAATAGCAAATGAACCTTTTGTGTAGCTTCCTCTTTTAGAAATGTGGTAGCACCAGGTTCGAAGAATACTCTTCTGTGGTGCAAGATTTTTTGAGTTTTCTGCTTACTCTCGTAATTTGGAGTAGGTGAATATAACTTGCATATCTCATTTTTATACTCATAGATTGTATTTCATGTGTCTGAATGAGAACTTGGCAGATCTGCTGTAAGGGGAAATAAGCAGTTTATTGAAATTCAGTTTCAGTGGTAAAGTGATAAAGAACCTCTGGCCCCTCCATCCACCAGTAGCTGAGAAGTTTTCAGGCTTTAAGCCACAATTTTGCCTTTGTTTAGTCAGAATTTGTCAACGGTTTAATAAGTGAAGGGCACATAAACAAACAATCTATGATCCTTAAAAAATGGGGTTGAAAAGCAGTGGCTCAGTGACATCCCCAAGTCCTCTTACCTGCTAAATAAGTTGCAGAATTATCAGGAATATTTCTAAAATTACAGCCCAGTCATTAATTCAGGCTATTACTGCAGATTTACACTTGCATCTTGCCAAGTGTCCAGCTGATGCCCTTTTGATGTGGGGTAACCCATTCTGTGGACAGTTTCAGCATTTTCACAGCAGTGCTGGGCACAGGAATGCTTGATGTACATTCTGAATAGATGCTGCTTTGTACTTGTCACTGTGGTGTAAAAAATACCTTCAGCTAACTGAGAATACTATAATAAATGAAAAGCAAAATTGTGTTGTGGGTGGTTTCCTGCACTGTCAATTATATACAGTTAAGACATTTTCATAATGTTACTTTTGTCAGATTTATTTATACTCTGGATTTAGAAGTCTACACATTCTCCCACTAGCAGTATGTCACTTTTGATGTTGATTTTTTCCCCTTTTTCCTGTTGTTCTTTGCAGATCTGCTGTAAAAGCCCTGCGTCCTGGTGGGTCCTTGGTCTATTCCACGTGCACCCTCTCCAAGGCAGAAAACAGTGATGTGATCAGTCTCATCCTGAGCTCCTGCAGGAATGTGATGCCTGTGGATATAAGTGGGATGGCCAGAGGTGTTTCCCAGGAATTCTCTTTCCTTGTTGGAATGCAGCAGCACGAACTGCTGGTTCTCCCAGAGAAAGGGAGAGCGTGGGGTCCCATGTACGTGGCTAAATTAAAAAAAGTGTCCCCCACCTGATGCTGGTGGTTTACAAGCAGTATATGATAAATTAATATTGATTTAAATATAGTGTGTGCATATGAACACGTCCAAGGCAACTGAAATTAGTATGATGCAATTTCCTGATCAAAAGGAAGCAAGAAGTTTAATTTATTTTAACTTAAAATACTGAATGTGCCTTCTATCTTGGGCTTGTGGGCGTCTGAGAAGTCCTGAGGAAGTCAGGGAGCTTTGTATTGTTTTCAAGGTGGTGCTTTCAAAGGGATTTGGATTCCAGAATAGAGGCTTAATGTGGTAGAGTTTTGCACTGGTTTTGGTTTTTTATTTACTAACTTGGTTCTAATACAGTATATTTTTAAATAAATGGTTTCCAGTGGTCTGAAGTCATGGAAATCCTGCATTCTCTTTAAACACATCTAGAAATCTGTGTTTCTGCAAGAGCTGATTTGTATGTGCAGTGCCATCTTCAAGCACTGGCAGAACAGGTCTCGTATTTGCTAAGCTGTTTACTTACAAAACAAAGGTGTCTTGTTTACACAGATGCAAAGGTCAGCACTTAGATCAACACCAGCTTTTTTTGTTGTTGTTTTAATTTATTAATATTCTTCTATTTTGAGCTTGCAAAAATATGCATTGAAAGAGTAATGGTGTATGTATTCCAGCCTATGCTTGTCTTGAAGCAGAGTGGAACCCTTTCATCCCCATCTGGGTTTTTCTCCCAGATGGAAGGTGATAATCATTGTTTTTAAAAACGTTGTTTTAAAGAGGGGTGTGTGACATTGTACATTTATTAATTTCACAGAATCACAGAATGGTTGGGGTTGGAAGGGGCCTTAAAGATTATCAAGTTCCAGCTTCCTTTCTGTGGGTAAGGACACCTTCCACTAGACCAGATTGCAGAGTCCCATCCAAAACAATTAATCTCAAATTAAACACTTGCAGGGATGGGGCATCCACACCTTTTCTGGGGCAGGCTCTTCCATTGTCTCATTGCCCTCACTGTGAAAATAATTTCTTTTTAATAATTTCAATATCAAATCCAAATCTGCCTCCCTTCAGTTTGAAAACATTTAGTATATTTTATGTCTATATTACACAGTTTGCTCTCAGGACACTGCTGTACCTTCTGCTGAGGCAACCAAATGCATCAGATGTTCTGAAACCTCACCCTTTGTTGCGTGAGCTTTCACTGTTATCCTTTCCCCTGCTTTGGGATGAAAACTGTTTGAGGTGGTCCTGTAGTGTTAAATTATCAGCAATGTCTCTAAAAACTCGAGAGGCTGTAAAGTTCATGCAATTTGAGTATACAGATGATTCTGTGAAAAGGCCTGACAGCATCTGTCCCAGGAACATTAAATGTAATATCCAGATTTGGAGTCATGTCAGGCTGCTGGGTGAAATAACCACACCTTTGGCAAAGTGCTTCCCGTCAGTTTCATTTGCCCTGTGGAAATTGAAGTGGAAAGGCAAGAATGTAACTTGCTCAGGGATGGAATTGAAATATGTGCTTGAATTGGATGGTTGAGTAAGACATGGACTGGGTAATCACAGGAAGAGCAAAGAGAGCCTTGAAAGCTGAACTTCTCAGTCTCAGCAGATGGGCAAATCCCTGAGCCCTGCAGCAAGGCCTCCTGGTGTGTCTAAAAGCTGCTCTGAGTTCTGCACAACCCTTTGCTGATCTCCTGGAGTCCCTTTCCAACTAGTCTAGAAATGCACCAACAAGGGAGGTAAAAACAAGTCTGATTAATAAGTGATACTTATTTTTGTTTGTATTTGATGAATTTTGGTTTGTATTCTGTTCCAGAGTGCTGTGGAGTTGGTTTTCTTCTTGTGTTCTAATCAGTTCTGGCTGGTGACAGGAATTTGGTGAGCACATGTGGAGTGAGAAGGGAAAATCAGAAAGGGTGGAGGCAGGTCTGTAGAGATGAGGGGCAAAATTTTTTCTTTTTGGTCATTGTAATTAATCCCTTGCCATGTCCTTCCTCCTCTTTCCTAAGCAATGATGATGGAGATGGGTTGGAGAACAAGTCATATCATAAAGGAAATTGCAGCCCCAAGCAAGATGAGGGCAGGAAGATTACCAGTTTTGTTGGATTGAGGAGTCCCAGAGAAATCTTCATGGTCTGTATTGAAGCTGCCCACAGTTGTATGCATAGCACACCACCAGTGCCAGCACCTCGGAGGCCGCAGAGAGCTCTGGAGTTCAGCTGCTCTTGTGCTTTTCTACCATTCCCTTTTCCAACATCCAAAAAGTCACTTCCTTGTTTCAGGGGGGATTGGCACAATAAGAAATTGGAAAGCCTTATCTAAAGGCAGTTTCAGTATTTAGCAAATTTTATCCTTTATTCAGTGGCATCTGACACAGTTCAATTATGGCTTGTCAAAAGCATTCTCCACTGTGGAGTAGAGCGGAAAAACAGATTACACAATGTCTGTGGACTGATGGAGCTGACCAGGGGACTAATGAACTCCTGGCTTTCTCAGTAAGGTGTGCAGAGAGAAGGTGAAGCGTGTTAAAGGAGGGGAAAAATGGAAATACCATGACTGCAGCAGGGGGTGAAAAATGTGAAATACTGGAGAAGAGACTCTGTGGCTTTTAGCTTGGAAGAGCAGCAGTGCTGCAGCCTGTTCAGGAAGAGCTCTGTGAGTGGTGAGAGGAGGGGAAGAGTGGTGGGAGAGCCACAGGTGCCTGTACTGGTCTGGGAGGATCCCCTCATTTCATTTGACTGCCTCAGCAGGAGAATTGAGGACATCAGTTATGAAGACTGTAGTGGAATTGCTTTAAATTTGCAGGGTCTTTAACTTAGCTATAAGCATTTAAATCAAACGTGTCTACCTGTTTCTTGCCAAACAAATGGCTTTATTGGTAAGTGTTCCTATCATAAAAATTGATTTAGTGAGTGGGAGGAAAATTTGAGAATCAGGCCTGGCTGTAGTAGAATATGGCTTACTTCTAAGCTGATGTAACTTTATGCAGTATTGGCTATAAATGAGATCCTTCGTTCCAGGGGAAATTGGAACAGCACATGCTGGTAATCTCTTAACTTCCAGGGAAAAGTGAAATTTGGAGTTCTCTGCTTGCCAAACCTGGGCACACAGTCACTGGTTACACACTGCTTTTAGATGTCACCCCACCAAGCTATTCCTGACTAAAGATTTTTTTTTTTTCTGACAGATCACAGCAATCATTTGTCAGAAAATGTTTTCCTTCTGATCTTTCTGTCTGCATCCTATGACTTGAGGTGAAGGTCTAATGACCTTGGAAGTTTTTATTTTCTTAGTAGTTGTACATAGTTTTCAGCAGGGGCAAGCATCATACAAGCTTCCACGACTCCATTTCAAAAAAATTTGTGTGCTACCAGAACAAAATGCCTGGATCAAAAAGTCACAGCTGTTCTTGAGGGGAAGAGATGGAGCATAAACCTGGGCCAGTTCTTGTACTCCACTGAGGAATTTCTGCTCCCTACAGCTGTGTCCAAGGTGGTTCTTCACATCAGTGTTTTCTGCTGAGATGGCTCTTTGCATATGGTCACCATGGTGTCGTGGTGATGTGATCCTTTGTGGGTTCAGAGGAAAAAGAAATGGATCTGCTGCCCTAAACCCACAGGTTAATCCTATAATAATCCTATAGTGAGAGGTGCTGCAAATGTTGCTGCAGAACTATTTTTTAAAAGATGATAAAGGCACAAGAAGGCAGCACAGCAATCCAGATTCGAATGGAGGCAGCACTTCATCTGGTCAGTGACATCCTCACCTTGTTCTTTCCAAAATGATGCTTTCCTGACATAAGGCTTTCATCTTTAAGGACCACAAGCATTTGGCCTGACCTCACTTCTGACAAGGCAAATCAAATAAAGCAGTCAAAACAGACAAGGGGCTTGTTTGTATGCAGTGTCAGAGCAGATCTTACAGTCATCCACAAGAGATTTAGGCTGATGTTGCTTTGTCTCAGTCCCTGTGGTGTTCTGGGGTCATTCTTGTACAGCAGCATCTGTGTTGGGGATGGACCTGACATGAGTCCTGCTGATTCTCTCTGTCCCCAGTAACTTCCTTTGCTGCTGGGGAGATGTTTAGAGTCTCATATCTTCAGTGGGAATTTGAATGGCTTTCAAACCACCTTTTGATGTCATTTGGCAAAACTTCTGTCTCAGAATAGGTGTTGTTGTAGCACCTTAACCTACTCGAGTTCCCTAATCTGAGGGTGCCTCATAGCACATCTTTTAGATCTACTTTTTCCTCTTTAATGTACTGGGTCCTTATTGAACATCCTACCCTAAAAAATAGAGGAGGCTGGGTTTTCTCTGCCTTAACCAAAACAGGGTACAGCCCAGAAGTGTGATGAGGCTGTAGGGAGAAGGTGGGAGAGGAGCAAATGAGGGTAAAATCAGAAAGGTGGCTTCCTTTTCAAATGGTTGCAGCCTTATTGAGAACTGTCCCACCACTAACAAATGAGCAGCTCCTCCTGCCTGCATTTGAAAATGAAAATGCCATGAACATGAAAATGCCATGAAAAGCAGGGGAAAATATCACTGATAAAGTTCTCGACAAGTGTTTCCTAATTGTCCCAAAGTGGAATAAAATGCTAAGAGCAAATTCAGAGTAATATATATATATATTTATTTTTTTTTAAGAGGGTATGTTGCTTTGTTGATTTACTCTAGGAAAAATTTATCTTATCTGAATGTGTGATTAAGTAGCTGATGGAATAATTCTTTACAGGGAGGAGAACATGCCAGAACATTTGAGTGGTGTAAAGCAGGGCTGCAGAGAGGATTAGAAAAGGTACAAGGAGGAGTAATTTTGTGTTGGCAAGAAGTAGACTTAATAGCACTTTTTTATCTGTAATTTTTATGATTCTGTGGCTAACCAGGGAAATGTTTAATGTTCCTTGTACAGCAAGTGAAGGTAGAAGGAGGCAAATTGACATCCCCAGCACTGTTATAATTCATTCCATTACTTCAACAGGGCTTTTATATTGTCACGCCCATAAAGCGCCAGTGTGCACGCTCAGAGCCAATCCATCTTTATATACTGCTGCTGATCCCATTGAAGGCAATGGCAAAACTCCCATCAATTTTAATGGCAGTGGGATATGGCCCATTTTGTAGATATACAATGGATATTTCCTGCACACAATTTTTTTTGTGTATAACGTGCCCCTCATCCAAGGTTCAGAGAGTGTTTTATAAAGTGGTGAAGTCACAGCCATTGATGTAGTCTCCAGCTGATGAGATAATGTGATCTGCCTTCAAAACTGGATTTAAAGGTTGACATTTATTTATCTACCTATTTTTTAATTTATTAGGGGCACAGGATGCACAGAGAACATCTCCTGGCACAGAGTACTGCCTTTGAAAAATTTGCCCAGATAAATTGCAGGAGGTAACTGTGTTAGAAATAGATGCTGCACTTGCAAGGTTAACATTATGCTACAGCACTTAAAAACTAGAAAGCATCAAAGAAAATTGAAGGCAGTATGGATCAGTGGGTTAGTACATAATACAGCAGTCTGCAGCACCAGAGGCTAAGAAAGGTCCCTTTTGAAAAGCAGCTGTTTGGATAGCAACTCACTCAATCAGCAAGGTACAAACAAAAAAAAAAATTAATTGGATGAGTATTTTAAGTTATGTTCTAATTGGGAAACG